ATATAATTTTTTAGTTTTCTGTAGGATACATGCGCTCACCAGAGAGAGACAGACACAGAGACTGAGAAAGAAAATGAGAAAACAAGCTGCCAGGTCCTGGACTCAGACTGTGGTTGGCCGCATAGGAGTCCAGCACCTCAACCGCCACATCACTTGCTGGCCCCTAATCGAGCCTTCTAAATGCGCAACAGACACAGGGATCATGTTTCTGAGGAGAGGAGATGAGAGTTAGGGGTTATTAAGTGGCTTTTCTCTTCTCAGCTGCTCCCTCAGCACAGCAGCCCTTGGTCAATGACATCCAAGTGTTCATGGAGAACTCCGTGACCTCATCATCCTTCCCAAACCCCAGCATCCTGATTGCCATGAACCTGGCTGGAGCCTACGATGTGGAAACCCAGAAGCTCCTGACTTATAAGCTCATGGCCAGCGACACCTCTGGTGAGCCATCTGGGCCCCTCACCCTGCCACTGCTCCCCACCCCTAGATCCCAGCTGCATGTTCCTCCATCCCAATGCTGCCTCCGATGAGACCTTAATCACCCAAACACCTTTCCCCCACACGTATGCGAAATACCTGGAAAGAAAGGAGTGGAGTCAGAGCATTCCTGGAGGAGGGCCATAAAGCCAAAATGCTCTAGGCTAGATGGAGAAAGAGTGGCTTCCAGTTCTGCTTCTGCCACTAACCAACTCTGTGACCTTGAACAAGCTGATCCTTCTCCACCTCATGTTCCTCCCAAAATGCTCTAGGCTAGATGGAGAAAGAGTGGCTTCCAGTTCTGCTTCTGCCACTAACCAACTCTGTGACCTTGAACAAGCTGATCCTGCTCCACCTCATGTTCCTCGTTTCGAAATACAGATAATTCTCATAATAATTACACTGCTACTAATGATAGCAGTGATGATAATAATATCTCTGTTTTGCATTGAGGCTCAAGCTACAATAGATAATAAAGTTTTAATTATTTTATAATTGTGAATTTTCACGTGTACATTTGTATGGATATTCTTACTGCTTTTACCAGATAACAAGTATTCTAAATAGAGCCATCAAGTTATACAGAGGCCACTAGATGAAATATTCCCTTAAGTATTTTTCCATACTTTTATTCCTTTGGAAAGATAGATTTAAAAAAAAATGCTTACATTATTTTATTTTTTTATGATTAAAGAATGAATTTACTTTGGTACAGAATCTTTTTGAAATTCATGCATAGTTTTCCCATTACACGTATTTCCATGAGCTTTGTTTTTTCTGAATCATTTTTTTCTTAATTAATTAATTTACATTCATTCCCTGGGCATCATCACAGCATACAAAATGTGATTTCCCGTCCAAAATATACAGCATAGTGGTTTAATCAGGCATGTTATCGTCAATAACTTTCCATTTCTGACCATATGCCATTTCCCACACTCCTCCCACACTGTATCTGGTGTCTACAGATGTTTTCCATTCCTTTTCTCCCCACATTTTATTGATCACAAAATTTCTTAAATAATCTAACTACTTTCAATAGCAAGTTCAGCTGGTAATTCCAAGAAAAGCAGTTTTAACTTTAATAAATCAAAGAAATGCTAAGGAACTTTGCTTAAAACTTAAAGCCAGGAAACAGGTTAGGATTCTGTTCAATTAGTAGGTACATGAACCTATCGGCAGCTCAAGACAAGACAAAAATCCTTACACCCGGAAAACAAAGCCTAGAGGAAAATCAGTAAAGTTTCAGTCAAAAGTCATAAAATTCTATTTCACCAGTTCAGTCTAACGTACTTCATCTATCTTCTGTTGTGGTTTGATCTTCCCGATTAAAATCTGGGGTCTAACATTCAACTCCAGACTGGTCCTTACGGTTAAGTTAGCCATTTTCTTAGTTTTTAAACTCTTATTTTTGTGTGTCTCTATTTAATTTTCCTGGTATAGCACTCCCTTGAGAACTTCTTAGAGATGAGATTGGCCAGAGTCCCTGGTGCTCTCTCCCCTGAGAAGTTTTTTATGTAACTGTTTTGTCTTCTCCTCTGCAGACCTCACCATTGGTCAGCTCGCCCTCACCATTATGGCCCTCACCTCCTCCTGCCGAGACCCTGGGAATAAAGTATCCATTCTGCAAAGACAAATGGAGAACTGGGCACCGCCAAGTAAGACCTCATTACAAAGGAAGGGATCATGAGGCATATGGTTCTTCAGTGCATTTTAAACCCAGAAAGGAAGAGGGCAGGGGTGAGGAGAATGGAAAGTTCGGGAAGAGACACGGTGTGCCCTCCTCTCAGATCCCTCTGAACATCCCACAAGTGAGAGGTTCATGTCCAGTCCAAAATGAACTGGGAATGACACGTCGTTTTATTCTAGATGACTTTCTTATTTTGAGAAACACTTTTATCCTTTCTCAACGCTATGCCTGTCTTTGCGTCAGGCTTTCTGACAGTTTCTATTTAAGATGTTTAGCTTTTCCTCCTTCACAAATGTCCTCATCGTGCTGAATGTCAATCTAATAAAGATTCTCTGTCCCCTTTGAGGTCCCAACGCTGAAATATCAGCCTTCTATGGGCCCAGTCTGGCGATCTTGGCTCTGTGCCAGAAGACTTCTGAGACAGTCTTACCAATAGCAGTCCGCTTTGCCAAGACCCTGCTGGCCAACTCCTCTCCATTCAACGTGGGTGAGTAGGCCACCACTTCCAAATGCCTCCCTGAGCTGCAAACAACAGCCCAGTGCACTGAATGGTGGAGCTGGAGAAGGAAGAGGGAGGGGAAAGCTTGACAGAGCAGAAGTGCTTGTAGATAAAGTGTTCGCTGGATGTGTGAACTAAGGGATAAATAGAGAAAGGGGCGATAGTACCATGTAGAAACAAGGATAGTCCTTGAAATATCTGGCAGCTAAAGAACCTCCCCTGGGGATGATAAACATGACATCCAAGACAGAAGCTATTTCTGAATTAAATGTCGATGTCTTAGCTTAGATATATTTACCCTGCACCCTCTGCTTGAATCACTGCTGATGTTTCCAAACTGCATTCTTTTCATTGTGTCTCATATTACATCCAAATAGTCTCTTTCCATTAAACAGCTCTTCTCCAACCCCAAACCCCACAATGTTCCCCTTCAAGAGAATGCTGGGACCACCTTGTTTCTTTGTTCTGCAAATATATGGATGTTTGTGAATAGAAGCTTTTTCCTTTACAATGTCATGTTCTTCTGTATATAAAGATCGCTTCTCTGTGGGAGCCACTGTCATGTCCCTCATTCATGGCCACCTTTTGTCTTTTATCATTCTTTAAGCAGAAACATTATCTCAGGTTTCCTTTTTTTTTTTTTTTTTTTTGAGACAGAGATTTTTTTCTATATGGCATGTGAACTCACCAGAGACACAAAGAGAGACAAAAAGACATAAATTAAGAAATCACCCCCCCCTCCCCAGGGAAGATAGCCATGCCACAATCTTTTCTCCTCTATTCTCCTCTCAGGATTTTGGGCATATATGCACATGCGCCCGGTGTGAGTTTTAAGCTGCCGGGTCTGGGACTCAAACCACAGACAACTATGTGGGAGTCCAGCACCTTAACTACTACACTACCTGCTGGCCCCCTCATTTCAGTTTCTATCAGACAAATAAGCAGGTAGATTTTTCTCCAATGCCCTTTCCATGGGTCAAGAACAGATTGGTTTCCTTTCTCACTCATCAAACATTGCTTGAGCATCTCTTACAGTTCAGGACGTTTGAACGTCTTTGCCTTTGGATTTCAACAGCGCTATAACCCTTAATGAAGTTACACAACTTTCAGGGAAGGGGATTGAGATAGGGAGGGGGCTGGTCAGTGAAATATAAGATGTTATCTGGCAGTTTTTCATTTGTTCTCATCTGGGCATGCCAGAGTTTGCTCATCCAGTCCACCCAAGCTTATTGTATGCAAATAATGACAATATTTCTGTGCTGGGTACAATGGAGGATATGGAGTTTCCACCATCCAAGCACTTACAGAACACAATAACCACAAAACACAGCAAAGAGTGATGACATTGAAATATACGTACAAACAGCAAACGCTAAAGGAGTTCAGAGAAGAGACTGCATCTGCTTCCTTGAGAGGTAGTAATGACGGGGCCTTCAACAACTGGTGAATTTTGGAAGATGTATGCTAGGACAAGATAAACGCAATTGAAAACACTGCCAGTAGACATTAATTGGAATCATGAGCTGTTGAGTGGTAGAGATATGGGTCAGGTCCTGAACTGTTACTTACTGGCTCTGTGGCCTTGAGCAGTGGTCAACTTCCCTGAGCCTCCATTCCCTCACCTCTTAAATGTAGATAATTACAGGTTCTAGTTCCCACGCTGTCCTGAGGAGTGAATGAGACCATGTAACCAGAACACAGTGTTAGCTGTTCATACAGTTACAGCGATGATTATGGTGGTGGTCTTATCTCCCCGTGATTCACAGACACAGGTGCAATGGCGACCTTGGCTCTGACCTGTATGTACAATAAGATCCCAGTGGGTTCAGAGGAAAGCTACAGAGTCCTCTTTGGGCAGGTGCTGAAGGATATTGTGGAGAATATCAGCATGAGGATCAAAGACAATGGCATAATTGGAGACATCTACAGCACAGGCCTGGCCATGCAGGTAAGTACACCACTGATACTCTTTGTTGGGAGAGACTATGCTTCTGTTAACATCTCTGGGAAAGCTTAGCTAGTGTGACTTCAGGCATATTCTTTTTTTAAAAAAAGAGGGACAGAGGAGAGAGAGAGACAGAGAGAGAGAGAAAGTGAGAAAGCAAGCCGCCAGGTTTGGGACTCGAATCGCAGTCCGCCATGGGGGAGTCCAGCACCCTTTACCACCTGCTGGCCCCAGGCATATTCTTTGTGGTAACTGTGCCTCTGCTTCTCTATGAGTAAAATGTGAGTAAGTATTAATTCTTTCCTACCTAATGGGTAAAGTGTGAAAACAAACCTAAATAAACTCAGTTTCCTTCCTTGGAAAAAAATAAAACAAATAAATCTTTTTTTCCAAGATTCATTTATGTAATTTCATTCATTATTACTATTATTATATTTTAATTTTACTTTAGGACACATGTACTCACCACAGAGAGACAGAGAGAGAGAAAGTAAGAAAGCAAGCAACTAGGTCTGGACCTCAAAACCACAATTGGCCATGTGGGAGTCCAGCTCCCCAACCACCACACCTCCTGGCCCCCAAATAAATCTTCAAAATATTGGTTTATTATTAATAATGATTAGTTTAATAATAATATTTATACACTACTTAAAAGTTTAATATAGTGGTCAGCAGGTGGCATGGAGGTTAAGATGCTGGTTCCCACATGGGCAGTTGCATGGGTTCATGTTCCAGACCCAGTGGCTTGAAAAGCATACCAGGTGTGGGGCCGGCAGGTGGTGTGGTGGTTAAGGGCACTGGACTCCCACGTGACTGACCAAAGTTCAAGTCTCAGACCTGGTGGCTTGCTTTCTCACTTTCTCTTCCTCTCTTCTCCCCCCCACCCCCACTCTGTTAAATAGAAATGAAGAAATAAATAAAGTTAAATTAAAAAAAAAGAAAAGAAAAGAAAGAAAATCACACCAGGTGCATGTGCCTACATGCTCAAAATCCCCAGAGGAGAAGAGAAGAAGGCATTTCAGAAAGGCCATCACACTTGGGGCGAGGGTGATTTCTCACTTTTTTCTCTCTTATTTGCTCTGTCTCTCTTACAAGTAAACACACCTATAGCAAAAATGAGGGAAAAAATTTAATATACAAATAATAAAGGTATTAGAGCAGGTCCTCAGAACTATTAAATTACTTGGTTCAATCTTGCCAGCCAAATGTTCTTTCTTCAGTCCTTGATTTTGGTCCAAAAAAGGTAGGTATGGGACCATGCAGTGTCATGACGGTTAAGGCAGCTGCACCCCACATGGCCAACTACACAGTTCAAGTCCCATACCCAGTGTCTTGAAAAACATGCCAGGTGTACATACTTATGTGCCCAAAATCCCAAAAGGGGAATGGAGAAGAGGGGATTGTGGAATGGCCATCTTCTCTGGGGATGCCTTTGTACTCGCCCTCTCTGTCTCTCTGTTTCTCTTGAGTGAGCACTCATGCCCTATAATAAACTTAAAAAAAAAAAAAAGCCAGGATTGTATTCAAAATGATTCATGAAAGAGACCTCAAGTTTATTCAACCTCACAAAACCCCCTAGTAATGGTAAAGCCAAATCTGTCTGATCGCCAAAACCATACCCAATCCTGTACACCCAGCATATATTGCCAAGTTTGGATTCTGTAAAATGCTGCTTAACAGCTCCAAATCCAAAACCCTCCTCCAGACTCAGTTGATTAGAGTAACACCCTCCATCGAAAGCAGAGGCACCGATGATAGTGGAGAGAGAGAACCAACTATCTATATGTTTTCAAAGAGAGACTTTTGCTATAGTACATGTGTCCTCATTGGAGAGAGACAGAAAGCAAGAAATCACTCCCCAGGGGAGATGACCATACTGCAATCCCTTCTCCATTCTTCTCTTGGGATTTTGGTCAAGCATGCACACACACCCAGCATGAGCTTTAAGTTGCCAGGTCCAGGATTCAAATCACAGTTGACTACCTGGGAGTCCAGTAATGTAACCATTATGCTATTGGCTGGTCCCAAGATAACTAACTATTAATAGAGTCAGAAATTTAAAAGCCAAGCTGGCCCCGTAGCCTACCGTTAAGAGACCTGGATCCCACATTAGCCAACTGCAGTTTTAATCCCAGCCCTAGTGGCTTGAAAACACACTGGGTTTACATGCATGTGTGCCCCAAATCCCATCAGGATGGAGAAATGGAGGAGAAGGGATTACAGTATAACCACATCCCACTGGGGAGTTCTCTCTCTCTCTCTCTCTCTCTCTCTCTCTCTCTCTAAATCACGCGCACTCGCACCCACTGTCAATTTTTTACTCTCTCTCTCTCTCTCTCTCTCTGTAAGTCAAGAGCACTCGCACCCACTGGCAATTTTTTTGTTTTAAATCTACTGATGGTCAAATCCTTAAATCCATACTAAGGACTTTGTGCTCCAAAGTCTCAAAGTATTCTGTAAAATTAATATAAAAACTTTACCATGAATTTCTCAACTCAGAAATCACAGGTAAGGGAGAATCATGGAATTATAGTGCCAGCCTTAAACTTTACATGGCCCCAAACTACTGTTAAAAGAAATGGTCTTCTGGGGGGGAAAAATAGAGAACAGTATTAGTATTCCACACATTAAAGGGGTAGTGTAGCAGTCTCACAACACAACCTACTGCTAAAGCCATAAGGGGAGGTCCTGAGTTGGTACCCAGAGGCCTCCCTGTACACTCCAGTGTTTGCTTGCCACAGCTATGGCTGGCTGGGGTTGTAGATCGAATTGTATTGACGGCATGAAGACCCTGTTGGTTCCCATTCCCCTTCTCTTTTCCCTCTCAAAGTAAAAAAGTGAATTTAGAAAACATTTTTTTTTAATTAAGGCATAAAAAGTCTAGGAGTTGGTTTATCTTAAACATAAGAGTAAAAACAAAATTTCTACCCCAAGGTATATGTATAGAAATGGCTAATAAGGACAGAGCCAGCTTCTAGGTCATGAGCAATGAGATTTTATTGTAGAACTACACCTTTTCTTTTTTCCTAGGCTGAATCATATAGAAGTATTTACAGGACTCAGGTCTAGAAAGCTTTGTGGACAAAAAAAGTCGAAAAGTGATATAAGAAGGTTTTTAGAATGGTTTTGTTTTGTTTTTGTGACTCACTTAAAATAACCTTGTTTCAACTTAGTGCCAGACTGAGAAGTGTTTATTTTTGCTAATACGGTTTTTGAAGTCTGTTTGAGATTTTATCACTTGTTAGGTACACTCTGATAAGCTGTTCCTGGAAATTAAAGTTTCCGTATCAAAAGGCATGACCTCATCCATATCTGGATACCACAAGCCAGGTGGATTTCTTCTCAGTAGAAGTACTTGACCTTT